AATCAAAAATAAAAAAATCCCGAGGTAAACAGCGAAGTTATTGAGTGAAATGTCGGAACAGTCCCGCAGGGCTCAAAACCCATGTACTCAATAGGAGTAGTCTGTTGGTGTTGGCGACGACGACTGGTCTCCCTGAAAACCATGTTACCACCAAAAATTCCAGCCCTCTACCCCCAAGCTTTGGATAAAAACTAGCTCGTAAGAGCCAAAGAGGACTTGTGTGTTTTTTATGAAGATCCTGAAATTGAATAAGTAGGGGCATAACTCTTAATGAGGAACTGAAGCGTAACGGTCACTTTACTTCAAGGAAGCTTTAGAGGAATGAGAAAAAGTCCTGGTAGTTATTTGCGTTCGCTTCTTATTATTTGAAGTTGTCCAAGGGCATTCAGAAAGAAAAAAAACTGGCAAAAAGGCATTGCAGATCCATATTTATTCACATGCAGATCTATTTTGAAACACAAAATACAAATATTCCCGCAACATAATAAAAGTTTATGGAGAATTTATATATTTCATTGGCAAATTTGAGTCCCCTGATAACTGACAGAAAGGTTAATCGAATGTTTGCTTAATAGAACCTCGTTTTTCGCTTGTTCATGGCGATGCTTTTCAGGTGATAGCCGGGGATTTTTGGGATAGCATCCTCCTCCAGCTTGTACTTCGCGGATGTTCGAGTAACAAGTATGACGAGAAAGATATATCCTAGCTGTACACAATATCATTTAAAACGAAGTATGATAAAAACTCTGTATGACTACGAGCGCTTAGGCGCGAAACTCAGAGTCACAGAGAATCGATGCGTCCTCTTAATTCTTTAACTTATGTATACTTAGCTCTGCTACCACAGTATTGAGCACTTTATGCCAAGGTAGACTCTACCCCCACATTTATATATATATATATTTTTTTTTTTTCCATTAAAATGATAACGATAATAGTAATACATCCAATAGAGGAATATTTGGCTTTTTAAGACTATATTTATGCGCCGCAAGCATGGTTCGGATACATCTACTTTAATAATTACACGCAAGGATGACAGAAACACTTCTCCGTATGATTGAAGTAGGTAGTATTTCAATTTTTTTGTACAAAATGACTTATTTAACCGTTATTTTATGTAAATTTGATAAGCGCCGCACGTCAAGTGGAAATTATGAAGTTTTCTTTGGAAGTATGAGGCCAAGGCGCCTTATTGCAATGCTGAAATATGCCAGAATTTTCCATCAGTAGGTTTATGATTGAAGGCCTTTCAGACGTTTGATGACGCTAGTAAAAGAAGTAGCAATGACTATCACATCCTTGAGTCCGTCTTAATTTTTCGTTTTCTCGTTTTCCTCTTCTCCTTGAACTAATAATTCTCGTTTTGTCGGCATTAAAATGAAATGTTATATTTTCCTCTGATACCAATAGAGTAATGTTTAAATCCTTGTTTAAAACCCTTCAATTGCTATCCGCTGTCAGCCTAGCTAATTTTTAGTCTCTCAAGAAAGTCTGTATTCGTAAAACGCTACTTAAATAGCGGAGGAGTTAAAATTCTTAAAGGTGTATTTGTTTCAAATTGTCGAAGTAAAAACAGTTTTTTGGTCCTTCATTTAGTGTTGCCAAAAAAAGGAAACTATTGTGATGAGATGGAGGCTTAACACGAAAATGGAGGCTATTTCTCAACCTCGTTTTAGTTCGTCATGCAAACTAGGAAATTCGGCCCAGTTTTCAATAAAGACACCTATTGAGTTGAACACTCTTTGTTTTGTTTTAATGATCATTCATTGCACATCTCGCAGTTGCCATGTCATTTACACAAATACGTCAGTGTGTGCCCAACGTATGGGTGAATTAGAATTTAAAAAAATACCGCTCTCTTAAGAGCTCTTTAAAGGGAAAATATGGTCTAGAAAATTTTATTTCTGTTGAAAGAACTTTTCGACAGGAATTCGAAAATAATTGTCGTTTTGTTCGATTCGGAACGGAACCCAGAGAAATGCAGTTAAAACAAACAAATTCTTCTTCGCCAAGCGCTGAGGCGCTATTTTTAGTAAGATCGATATCATAAGCTAACATTGTTCGACAACGGGAGACTTCCTAACGCTCTTCATGTAACATGAGGCTTTGTTTATATATATGAAACAAACTTGGAAAGGTAGACCTCTTATATTTATTTTCCCAAAGTAGATTGTGTGGTAATTCTTTTAAGTGCTCTTACCTTCAATTTTGCCTTGTTCACTTCCATATTTACTCATAATTTACAAAAGTAAAAGAGTGAATTTTCTTGGTCTAGTGACCTCCATTAGAAAAACAAAGCATACAAACTATACAGGTCTATTTACTACTGTGAAGTTGACCCTTAGTTGACTTTGAGTTTTGATTTTTATTCTGTCGTTGCCCACTCATTTGACGGATAATCTTCAAGTCTCTCATTTCTCACTTGGTGCATGCCAACAAGGGCTGTTTTGAAAGCATTGGCTGGTAAACACACGGGTCCAAATGATCTGTGCTCAGTAATACACCGAAGCCTGGTCCCTACAGTTTCAATAATAATTTACATCACTCAATTAGCAATGTGAAATAAATCCGTCGCGGGCACTGCGCGGGTTTTTAGTAAAAGCTAAAAAATTGTCACTTTAGAAACAAAGATTTTATTTGAGAAGAATTATTTATCCTCGATTCCAGATCGAGTCGATCACCAATTAAATTCATTTCTTGACGGCATATACTCTTGTCTTCTGATAATGAAGTTCTTGAGGCCAGGAAATCGCTTTGAAACACGGAATTACATGTATTAGAGGAAAATTGAAAAATTACTCGATGAAAATTTCAGAGGCGGTCGATCTAAGTTTCATTCGCTTTATTTTTAGAATGCTAATACAATGTAAGACAGCTCCTTGAACTGCACCAACCAGATGTTTAGAATAAATACACGAGTTGCGCCTGTTAAGAAAATCGAGGTAAAAAAAGTAAATAGATAAATAAAATAAAATAAATAAAAAAAGAACTGGCGAAAGATATTAGAATGGCGAGAAACTGCAATTGTAATTTAACTTGCGATTTAAATATGCGAGACTAGGCAATTTATGATTCCATTCGAGCCAAGATGGCGAGCATATCAAATGCAAATTGATAACTGTAATTTGCAGAAACTATAAGATCAGCGCATCATGCGATCAGCTGTTTGGAACATTAAAAAAATATATATCATTTGCAAGAACTTAGTCTAAAAAAAGATGAAATTTAGGAATTGTAATTCTATGATGTATGCTCAAAAGTGAATTCTTAAGAAGAGGTGATCGTTTTTTTAACATTCACTACAAAGCTCAAAAGCTGAACCATAAACGTTCCGACACTTCAACAAATATCAAAATTTAAAAAATTGCAATGGAAAATATATTCCACCGCTGCATTAGTACAATATTTACTGTTTCTGTGTGGTTTGCTAGCTGCAGGCTTCATATTTCTATACACACACATATATACATACATATATATATATATATACATACAGACACACATACATGCATACATACATACATACATACATATATATATATATATATATATATATATATATATATATATATAATTGAAAGAATCAAAGAGGACGCATCGATTCTCTGTTACTCTGAGTTTCGCGCCTAAGCGCTCGTCAGACAGAACTTTATTCAATGAAGAACATACCTCCTTATATACAAATTGGATGAGTAGCTAATTAATTCACTAGTGTGATGATCTGATCTACGTGTGAAATAAAGATTCTATGGGGCGGTATGTGAAATTTGCTAAGTAAAACTTATTCTCGTGGCGGCACTTAGAAATGAGTTCTGTTCTTTTGTTTAATAAAGACGGTTTCTTAGCTCTAACTAAATAAAGTTTTTCTGTGAGGCACAAGTGGCACCGTTTGCTTTTGTTGCTGTAGGCCGGGGCGGTCGCTAAGATACTCCAGTTTATTGTGAAATTGGTGTTGCTGTCTTTGAGTGTCCAGATATGCTTTGATAGTTCCTTGCTGTTTTAATAGTTTCTGTTCCGAAAAGAAAGTTTGTGTTGCGTGTAACGTTGTGTAAAAGTTCCTTCAGTAAGTCCAATGTAATTCTTTCCGGTTGTGTCATTTTCTGTTGTTACGTTGGCGTTGTAGACGACGCTTGGAGTGAGGCAGTTGTTTTTCAGAGGGCAGTCTTTTTTTTCCTGCAGTTACATTTGTTTTCCGTGGAGGGTGTCTTGCTTGTTTCTAGGATTTTTCTGTTGTGCTTCTTAATTATGGTTTGTAGGTTGTCTGTGCAGCTATAACTAACTTTCATGTTATTTTTGTTGAGAAATTTTGCTGTACCGGTGGTTTTTCGGAAAATGTTTACCGACGAGGTTCAGAAACTCTCTGCCGATGTTTGTTTGTACGTTCATGTTGTAGGGCGGATGAAACCAAATTATGTCTCTTTGTCTGTTCTTGCGGCTGTTCTGTACAGTGTGAGTTACAGGTTTCTTGCGTTCAGTGTAGATTAATTCTTCGTCGTGTCCACTTTTTTTAAGTACACTTTCGTAGTGTGGTTTCGCTTCGTTAAAGAGTTCTTTGCTTGAGGAAATGTCGGAGATTTGTCGGCCGATGGCTGCTGGTAAGTGTTTTATTATTGTAGGCGGATGGTTGGAATTGGTGTCGATGTAGAGAGTTTCGTTGTTGGGCTTTCTGTATGGGTAGTGGGTTCCGTCTGTGAGGTTTAGGGTGACGTCGAGGAAGTTACAGATTTTTAGGTTTGTGCTTCTAGAAATGTTCAGACTTTGTTTCTTAAATTCTCGTGTGATGTCCTTCTAGTCGGTTCTGATTGTGGTCCGCTTAGGTTTCTTAGAAGTACCAGCCCGTGGTCTCTATAGAGTCCTACGTTGTTTTTGCCGTATTTCTCGCTGAGGTTGTTAAGGAGGAAAAGTCCGATAAGCTTACGTCGAACATACTGTTGTGGTTTTTCTCAGTCCAGGCGGTCTCGTTGTCAAATAAAAGTGATTTCCGGCAGTGCATAATTATGTCGATGTCTTTGTCGCTGATTGTGGTAAAATTCTTGGCAAATGAAATTGCTTCAGAGAGAAGAGACTCTGTGATGGATGAGTCAAAACTGTCGATGTCGAACGAGGCGAACGAATGCTTTTGCATGTCGGGTATGTTGGTGAACCAATTAATTACATCTGATGTGTTTTTCCACTGATTGAGCTTTGTCATTTCTCTGACTTTCGAGTTGATATTGTCGAGAATTTGTTTACTGACTTTTCCGAGTTCAGTTTTTGCGGGATTTATGAGGCGGCATGTAGGGTGATTGGCGAAGTTGTCTTTATGGTCTTTTAGGGTACTAAAAAGTTGTTGTTTTGCGATTTGTTCTGTACGGTTGTCGATGTTGAGCTCTTGGGTGATAGATTTTGCTTGTGAGTCAATGATGTTGGCGGTGTCGGTGCTAGCTTTCTTGTAGGTGGTTGTGATGCTGTCCCTTCGGAGTTTGTCGTGCTGCGTCTTGTCAAGCTTGTAAAAGTTTAAAACTTTTACAAACTTGAAAAGACGCAGCTATTAGTAGTAGTAGTAGTAGTTATTGTAGCAGTAGTAGTAGTAGTAGAAGTAGTAGTAGTATCATTATGGTTATAATTTTTTTCTTTTGAGGTGAATCTCATTTTTTCCTTTTTTATCCCGAAGTTGTTCAAGGCTGCTGCTGAATAGCTGAACAAAGTAAGTGCTTATGACACTGCTTGTAAGCTTAAGTAAAGTTAGAATATCAATAAGCTAAGTGAATTCAGTTGCTGTATCAGACAGATTGTGGCTAGCCTTTTCAGTCAATTCAAGAGGAAATGCTGCTTCATTGATTTCTCCTGATTCAGATCGAACGATGCATGCGTAGCTTAAACTGCACGGCGTCAGTTTAACCGCAACACACAATTTCTTTGAGAGTCAAGTTGTACTTTATAATTATTTTGCCGCCGTTTCAATTCTATTGCGGATAATAATTGTGTAAATGCCACGTTCTTGAAGCAAAGTGAATGTGAACATTCGAATTCGAGCTGCAGAAATCTTCTTCAGAGCGGATGGCGCGAGATAAAATGCAATCCATTTGTGTTTGGTGCTCCCAGAGGTTCCTGCTCCAAGTGGTGTAAACAACTTTACTCCTTTATTGGTGAAAATGAGCCACCACTTCGACTCTGTCTGGCAAAGTTTCAATATGTTTCTGCAAATCCAGTTGCTGGGACCAGTAATATTGCATTTCGTGTAGTATCCTGCAGAACATTTGTGTTTCACATCAGATTGATCAACTCAAGTGAGTAATTTTTAGGAAACAGAAAGTCGTGATTTATCGAGAAGCTTGACTCACTGTAATCACTTGCTTTATTTTAAGCTGAGTAATTGTTTAGCGATGCCAGTATGTGCCTAGTTTTTGCAACACCTTATCAGTCAAAAGAAGTCAGGAATACTGCAACCTACCTTATGGAAGGCGCTAAGTTTTGCTTTCGCCCAGTTTCTATAAGCTGCTCAAAATTCTACAACAAAACAATGTAATTTGCAATTGAGTAGAAGAGGTCAAGCCCTATTAAAAATTCCTAATAAAAGTACAAGTATCACCTTCCGTTAGTCCTTTCGTATGATACAATTTTGATTTGCAGCTTTTTATCCCCTTGACTTTTTCATAAGCAACTGGAGCAACACTCCTTACAGCTCATCCAACCCATAATACTACGGTAAGCTGTTGGATCGATTGTTTTCTATAAGATTCTGGGTTTCAAATAAGTTTTACAAGGCTGTGGGGGCATAGAAAGTTAATTGAGGGCTTCACAACACGTAACCACAACAGTTCAAATCATTATGTTTTCGCTAAAGGACTTACAGGTAGATGATGGTGTAGCAGCAGTTCCAATGTTTATCTCACCTTACATTCTGTTTATCTATTTGTATTTTAATTTAGTTTACTTTTGATTGATTGGTTAGTGATAAGTTAATTAATTAATTGCTGTAATGTTTAAAAGTTTACAATGTGTATCTCAACTCATGTTCTGTTTATTTAGCTTTTATTTTAGTGTACTCTTGATTGATCAGTTAGTGATAAGTTAATTAGTTGATTTTTTTTGTTGTTGCTGTTTTTTTGTTTTTTTGTTTTTTTGCTAAAGGGTGGAAACAATAACAGTGATGTCACTCATCCTGAAAACACCGAAGACTCACAGGTAGATGATGGTGTAGCAGCAGTTTCAATGTTTATCTCACCTTACATTCTGTTTGTTAGCTTGTATTTTAGTTTAGTTTACTTTTCATTGATCGGTTAGTGATGAGTTAATAAGTTCATTGTTACAATGTTTACAATGTTCACAATGTGTATCTCACCTTACGTTATGTTTACCTAGCATGTATTTTAGTTTATTTTTTATTGATCGGTTAGTGATAAGTTAATTGATTGATAAGTTTTTTGTTGTTGTTGTTGTTTTGTTTTGTTTTGGGATCATTCAAGGTTTCTGGTAAACCAGTCCAAAAACTCTCGATCTAAAACGACCACGATACCTCGTTTTGCCACTCTGCGACAAACGAGGCTCGATTACGCAATCGAGCTTCGATTTTCCAATCGAGCCTCCATTTTTCAATCGAGCCTCCATTTTCCAATCGAGCCTCCATTTTCCAATCGAGCCTCCATTTTCCAATCGAGCCTCCATTTTCCAATCGAGCCTCCATTTTCCAATCGAGCCTCCATTTTTCAATCGAGCCTCGTTTCTTTAATCGAAAAGATTAAAAGAAAAAAGAACGGAGGAGAGGTAAGTAGGGAGAAAAAATAGAGAGAAAGGAAGGAAGGAATGCACCAGGCGGCAAACGTAATTTACTTATTCGAGAGGGCCCAGGGTCCCGGAAGGGTTGTATCGGTATGGGTAGAATCCACTGAGCAAATGATTGCAGGCGCATTGATTGCTCAGCGATTGAACAAGCTGCATTAGGCGCTTCTGTGATTTCATGCCAAAAGAAACGGCAAACAAGTAGTGAATGGGAGATGAATAGATGGAATGCGAGAAAGCACAGAGGATAATTTTCGTTTCTTGGTTTCCAAAAGTTTTACCCGCCGAAAATGGATTGTACATCGCAGGTACAAAGCAGTTAAGCATATATTATTTATTGTATTCAATTGTTTTAGGTACTTGTACTGGGCTTAACATCGGTTAAGGCAGAGCAAAGGAAAATTTAGTACGACCCATAGAAGCGGAGAGGATAAGAGTCTTAAATTCAGTCTGATAAACAGTTAAGGAACTAAAGTACTCCTTTAATTACATGGTATGTGTGGTTAATCTTCAGTGAGCTTAACACCCATAAGTCTCAAGGTGAACAGTTTCTTTAAAATTAGAATTTTCCTAAAAAAAAAAACCCAACAACAGCAAGAAAGTGTTCAAGAGAGAGAACAAAGTCCTTCACACGGGAAGCGTATATCATTACATACGAGAAACAGTAATAGTTGACACAAGTAAACCAGGCCATACTGCATGTGCAACATTAACTTTTAATTTCAAATGATAACTAGTACTGCATAACAATAACAACGTATACATCAGTTACTGAATTTTTTGGGTTCCGTGCTTATTGGTCATCATCAAAAACATAAACAAGTGTTAACTTGTTGCCATAAGTGTATCTATATATATATATATATATATATATATATATTGTAATGAACTTCTAACTTTGCTTTCTGTTCAGTGCATGGCAAGAATTAGCCAAAGGGTCTCTGCTCTATTTAATCACTGCGCTCTCACCCAAGGACCCTTATTCCACACCTTTCAGTAAAGTAAACATGGGCATAAATTTTTGCTCTCTTTTGGAAGTCTTCAATATTGCATGTGCAACATTAACTTTTATTTCCAAATCATAACAAGTTCCCCATAACACTAATAACATGTACATCAGTGACTTTTTTTTTGGTTTCTATGCTTCTCGTTCATCATCAAAATATATAAAAGTTTTAAGTTGTTGCCATAAAATGTGTATATTTACTGTATAATATACTTCTAAATGTTCTTATTGTTCAGTGCAAAGCAAGCATTAAGACAAAGGGTCCCTGCTCTATTGAATCACGGAGCTATCACTCAAGGAAGCTAATTCCACCCTTTCAACAAAGTAGGCATGACTGTAAGTAAGGTATTGAGTTTGATGTAAGCTTAAATTTTGATACTCTTGTGAAAGTCTTCCAAATTTTCCTATTCTAATATATGGTCTCTTTTGTGTCCATGTAAAAGAAAGTTATCTTTGAATTATTATTTACTTCAAAAGGTTTTATTTTCTTTGTATATTTTCATAATATGCTCTGGTCATCAATGTATTCAAATTAAAAAAAAATTGTAAACATTAGAATAAGTTTGAATTTGTAAGTATGGCTGTAAAAATTTATTATGGTTATTCTTGAGCAGAATGCTACAGACAAAATGAAACTTCCTTTTTTTGGACCAAAGATAGAGTCACAAATCATATCTGATTGTAAAATTGTTTTGATTGAGAGGTTAAATCTAACACATTGATTGAACAAATAGAACACCCTGGGATAAAACTCTTTGTACAGTGAGGACACTTCTTATGTTACACATAACCATATGTGCCATTTAAAAGAAATGTATAACTGTATTCATTACTTGTTTTAGGCTTTATTACACCCATTTTGAAATCATTGGTGGTCCCTGTTATCTGATTAGCTCTAATTGAGGTGATTTATTGACGAATTGCACCATTTTTTGCTTTAAATCGCATCTTTTTCCCAGGCAATGGGGAGGCTACACTAAAAACGAAATGACCAATCAGATTTCAAGGCTTATTTAAAGTAACTGATCAAATTGCAGGAAAAAGAAAGACAGAGTATGATGTGGCAAATTTTGCAACTTTTGTTTCCAAAACTCTTACTTTTCCCCCCCAAAAAGTGGATGAATTTAATTTCGGACCCACTCAGTACTGCATCAATAAAATGTTTGAACTGACCAAGTCCTGTATTTGGGCGATTTCAAAATGGATGCAATAGAGTGGTGATTGAACCTCGTGTCGTGCAATTTTGGTCTGAAATCATACTAGTGATTTCAAATTGAACTTGCGCTGCGCACTCATTCGATTTTGAAATCACGCATATGATTTCAGCCCAAACTGCACTCTGCTCAGTTCAATTACCATTATTTATTACACCCATTTTGAAATCACTGTTAGTCCCTGTAATCTGATTGGCTCTAATTGGTGCGATTTATCCTTGAATTGCACCATTTTTTGCTTTAAATCACATCTTTTTCCCAGCCAGTGAGGAGGCTTCACTAAAAACAAAACAACCAATCAGATTTCAAGGTCTACTGAAAACAACCAATCAAATTGCAGGAAAATGAGAGACAATGAGTATCATGAGGCAAATTTTGCAACTTTTGTTTCCAAAACTCTTATCTTTTCCCCCCAAAAATGGATGAATTTTATTTCAAACCAGCTCAGTACTGCATTGAACTGACCAAGTCCTGTACTTGGGCGATTTAAAAATGGATGAAATCATGCGTATGATTTCAGCCCAAATTGCACTCCACTCAGTTCAATTACCATTATTAATATCTGTTAATGCAGAGTAAAGGAAAATGTAATAAGATCCATACAAGTAAAGGGGATAAGAGACTTAGATTAAGTGTGATAAACAGTTAAGGAACTAAAGTGCTCCTTTGACTACATGGTATTTGTGGCTAATTTTCAGGAAGCTTAACACTCCTAAGTCTCAATGTGAACAGTTTCCTCAAAGTGAGATTTTTTTCCTCAAAAAAATAGAAACAAAACAACAACAACAACAAAACCTCCAAGAGAGAGGACAAAGTCCTTCAAACGAGGAGCGTATATCACAACAAACGAGAAATAGTAATAGCTGACACAAGTAAACCAGGCCATACTGCATGTGCAACACTAACCCTATAACTCCCATGAGTGACCAAGACAGAATTTCTCCTTACGATAGTAACAAGATAAGTGATGAGAATAAAGAAAAAGATCAATTGGGGGATAATTAGTAGATCCAATACTAAATTCTCTGAACTAACATTAAAAGAATTGTACGGTTGACATTGAATAGAATAACAAATTTGATCTGGGAGTTAAAAGGTTAACTTTTAATTTCAAATCATAACTATTACTGCATAAAAGTAACAACTTGTACATCAGTTTCTGAAAAATTGAAAATCCAAAGGTAAACAAAAACAAAAGTGCAGCTGACCAGGGTCCCTTTAAAATCCTTTTTTTTAACAACTGTCCTCCTTTTCCTTTTTTCTTTTTGCTGTTGTTCTTCTGTCCTTCTTTCTCCTTTTCCTTTCAAGTTTACTACCGGTATGTTCCTTCTCCTCTTCTTCTCTATGTTCCCTCTTTCTCTCTTCTTCTTCATCTTCTTCCTTCTCCTCCTCTTCAGTGTTCACTTGTCTTTTGGCCACCAGTACTTCCTGTCCTTCCTCTGGAACAAAAATATAATTTTAGAGGTTGTAGTTGACAAATAATTGTCTTTTTCTTGCTGTTGATTTAAATTATATATTACCCTATTTGTAGGATTCCTAGATAGGACAGAAGTGCTTTATACATTGTCAGTTTAAGTAAGGGCCTAAGCAAAAAGGACCTGTAGGAAACGCCCATAATCCATGGTCCTCGGGGCAATAACACTCTGTAAAGCATGTTTTCTAATAGAGTATGATCATTTTGTGTGACTTGCTGATTAATTGCTTTTGATCGATAAATCTTACAGCAGTGTTATGTTTATGTTATAAGTCGATCGTTCGCGTAAATCGATCGGAGAATCTTACAAACTTTTACTTGATAAGCGAAGTTGCGCGTTTGGGCGACACAACTTTGATGTTGGGGCGACACAACTCCGATGTTGGGGCGACGTAACTTCGGTTGGGGCGACGTAACCTGGGGCGACAAGGCAATGGGGCGACACAACCTGACACCATTGGGCAAATTAAGTGGTCGTCTGTGTTAGCATCGGGTAAAAGCTCGCAGTTGAAGTGGCTCAATCCAGACATATTAGCAAATACCACAGAAAAGGAGAGTAACTTTCAACGATAAAATATCCGTTCACTTCACTTTACCCACTTTAACTCTACAGAACACACAGGGAAATAGGTATTTAGAGAATTGGGCAATCAATGCTTAAGTTAAAAAGGCACTTTCGTTACACAATGCTAAATCAATCAATTGAAAACGACTTGTGTTTAATATAGCCTAATCCTCAAAGGAACTGAGAACATGGGTCTGCAAACACAACAAGCATTAATGAAGGTTTTAATTAATCAAAAATGCTCTTTTCAAAAATAAATATCACAAAAGGGAAAAGTCTAAAGACTCGAGGGAAAAGAACTCGATTCTGCAAACACCACAGGTAACAATAGCGAAGGCTTTATCAATTAAAAAAATTGTCTTAAAAAATAATTATCACAAAAGGCACTTTAGCGGCTCGTTGCTAAAAAAAGGATTCTGCTTGAGCCCAAAGACTCGAGGGAAAAGGGCATGAGTCTGCAAACACAATAGGTAATGATAACTAAAGCTTTATTTATTGAAAAATAATTTTTTTCAAAAACAAATATTACAAAAGGCTCTTGGGCGGCACGCTGCAAAAAAAAAAACAAAAAAAACCAGACAACTAAAAGAGGCCGCAAACCCTTACGATTGCAAGTCATGAGCAAACGTGAGGATTATACAAATAAAACTGCCTTTCAATGTAGTGAATCTGCGCGGAGACCAGACGCGCACAATTTTTTCCTTCGGAATGGAGGGACACGTGATCATCATAATCTTTTCAATTTTTCCAAAAACGTATTTCAAAGCCTCCGTTGTAGAGAATCCTTCTCGAAAGAATGGGCTCTTCTTTTTTCTAAGGGGTGGATAAAAAATGGTCTTTTGTGCATTCCCGACATGGTGTGAATTTCTCGGATCAAAATGGTACTTGAAAGTCGTGCCTTAACGAGATTTGTTTGTTTTTTCTTAAAGACCATCGCGGGGAAAGGAAACAAAAGTTAGACGACATACAGAAAACTAGAATGCAACGATATTAGCTTAACAGTTTATATCATCAATCGGTATTTTTTCACAGTTTAATTGAATCAATTTGAGTACCTATGGCTGGAGCCTCGCCGAATTACGAGAAACTAAGGCCTAAAGACTCGAGGGAAAAGAACATAAGTCTGCAAACACAATAGGTAACAATAACAAAGGCTTTATTTATTAAAAATCACTGTAAATCACTGTCTTCACTTCTTGGCACTTTGGCGGCACGTTGCTGAATCAATGAATTGGAAAAGCCCAAAGACTCAAGGGAAAAGAACACAAGTCTGCAAACACAATAGGTAATAATAACTAAAGCTTTATTTATTAAAACATACTGTTTTCGAAAGCAAACATTACAAAAGGCTCTATTGGCGCGCTGCAAAATCAAAATATTGAGAATACAAATAAAAAAAGTTTTTGCCAAAATAAATGTTTCGTGTCAGTTGTTTGATCCTTCTTTCATTTAAACTGCGAACATAACTAAATAAATCATAAAACATAAATCATACTGATAAAAATAGATGAATGTAGGTCACTTTGATGATGATCGATGTAGGGATGAAAAATGCGAACGAAAACTAAATCACACATAAACTGTGACAGAAAAATAACCAGGACTAAGTAAGCCGATGGAACTTAATAAATACCAAAGTTGAGCTTTCTGGAGTCAGCATAATTAACTTGAAAAACATCTTAAGAACATCTGCATTTCATATCCATAATTTATCGTTCGAAAAGGAGGCTATGAATAAGGAAAGCGAGTTTGCTTATTATTAGATAATATAAATATTTATTATATTGTACCAAAGTTTCTAAGGCAACATGCAATTTTATTTTGTCAATGTGCTTTATTTTATAGAGACGATGCTTTATTTATTTTTGATCAATTGTATATTTCAATATAATAGGGTAAATTGTTTTATTTGCTATGTTATATTTTATTGGTTAATTGTAGGTCCGCGTCAGCCTCATTAGCTGCTAATTTTCTTAATGTGATTTCTTTTGCCGCTTTTTCTTCGAAGAAGTGGGAGTACCCAAATTCCACCAAAACTAACGCTATTTTATGCTCTGTGGTCTGTTAAGTCTGTGCTACAAATGACACGCTCTATCCACGATAAAAACTTTCAATTTTTTTACGGTGTTGTAAATGGATTTCTATGATTGCTAGACTTAGGGCTTCACGGGTTAGTTAAGTTCTTAAAATAATATAAATTCCAGTTTGTAGATATATAATATGAAATAAACTGTGATAATGATTATTGAAGGAAGGAAAGATGAACGAAAACTGAATCACTCAAATATACCTAAACTGTGAAAAAAAAGCGCGTGTTATAAATGACCGCTCAGAAACCCAGATTCGCTGCCAGGCCAATTTTTCGTTCCTCTATTTTTCTTTTCGCTTTTTCTTAAACGAAGAGGGAATGCTTACAGTCTACTAAAGGCAGACTATACCTTTTTTTAAATGTGCCGAAAATAACCTGTTGCGCCCACGATAAAAACTCTCATTAATCCTGGTGTTTTTACTCTTTTCTTTTTTGTCATTTTCTCGTTATTTTTCTTGTTTTTATTTATTTATTTATTGCTGCTTGGTGCATACTGTCCATCACACAATGTTAGGGATTCTAAGTTTGCCGTTACAAAAGCATATGGGTTTAAATTATTAATTTTTTAATTTGCAGTATTCTTTTTCTCTTTCTTTCTTTCTTCCCTCCATTCTTCCTTTCTTTCTTCCTTTCTTTCTTTCTTTCTTCCTTCCCTCCTTCCTTCTTTCCTTCCTTTCTTCCTTTCTTTAATCGAGGCTCGTTTCTTCACTCGAGGCTTGTTTTTAAGAAAGAAAGAAAGAAAGAAATACATAATAATGATATACACTCCCCGTGTGAAGGACTTTGTCCTCTCTCTTGAACGTTTTCTTGTTGTTGTTGGGTTTTTTTTTTAGGAAAATTCTAATTTTAAAGAAACTGTTCACCTTGAGACTTATGGGTGTTAAGCTCACTGAAGATTAACCACACATACCATGTAATTAAAGGAGCACTTTAGTTCCTTAACTGTTTATCAGACTGAATTTAAGACTCTCATCCTCTCCGCTTCTATGGGTCGTACTACATTTTCCTTTGCTCTGCATTGACCGATGTTAAGCCTAGTACAAGTACCTAAAACAATTGAATACAGTAAATAATATAAGCTTAACCGCTTTGTACCTGCGATGTACACTCCATTTTCGGCGGGTAAAACTTTTGGAAACCAAGAAACGAAAATTATCCTCTGTGCTTTCTCGCATTCCATCTTTGTTTTGTTTTGCTACAGAATGGAGGCACTAAAAACACCGAAAACACCGTCGACGCACAGGAGATGATGGTGTAGCAGCAGTTTCAATGTTTATCTCACCTAACATTATTTTTTTTAGCTTGTGTTTCAGTTTACTTTTTATTGATCGCTTAGTGATAAGTTAATGAGTTGATTTTGTTGTTGTTGTTGTTGTTTGTTTTGTGTTTTTGTTTTTGCGGCTTGATTGGCTGGTTTCAAACTTACTTAGTTTTGTTCCTCATGGTAGGCTTGCAACTTGCAAGTTCGCTGTATTTAGTGTTTGACTGTTTGAATGCTTGCTCACCAGCCGTTTCTCTCATACTTTGTTTGTGTTAAGTGCGACGAGAGCTAAAGGCCACGATGTATACTCAAGTTAACCTGAAATATCGTTTAGCAAAAGAATAGCCTAGTTACTTGTTAAAACTCCTGAAATCTGCTAACTGTATCTCTTTACATGAAGAATGCAAAACAGCAGTTCAGAACTTCAATCCAAAGTATATGGTCCGAGTATTCACTACAGAGAGACAAGTCATCAGAGGATAAAAAAGTGGAGGATACTGTTTTTGCTTCGTTCCGTTTTGAAAGCTTTATAGTAAGCTTTGCCAGAAAGCGGCTGGGCGTTACAAGTCCCGAACTTATTGATGTCGATAAAGATCTGAGTAAGTGCAAAATAGTCTTTCCTCTCTTTTTTTTTTGGAGAAGAACTTTTTCATTTGTGAGTTCGGGCAAGCATTACGTGTACATTAAGAGCCAGTACCACTATCGTTTACATTAGCTAAAACTGAAGAAAAATTTCTTTTTCCCTGTGCTGTATCAGAAGCATTAACTGTGGCTTTCAATTCTCAAGAGAAATAATTGCATGCGAAATCATTGGTTGGAGGTTATGCAACTGAACACACTCTAGTCATGTGGGTCATTGCCTAATTATGCTCATCACCTCTATCCAGTCGTACTTTGTAGACAAGTGAAAATATACGTCGAAGCTGTACCATTTTGCTTTTTTTTTTTTTTGTTTTTTTTTTTTTTTTTATCAATATAGACTTTCGAGTTAGACGCAATGTCCTACAGAGAGGGGATGACTTTCTGTTCCATGGAAGTAATCACGGGAACTTTATTAAGGTTCCGTCAGCTAATCTGGATCGAAGTAAAAAGCCTTCTTTGTTTTGAGTCAGTTTCTTACCAGACGATTGCCCATAACTTTTTGGCCAACTCTTCTGTGGAAATGATTTCATTCCGACGTGCATTACCAAATATGTAATACACATGTAGTGTGCATTTACTGCAGTGAGCTTTTCCCTTCATCTTGGACCAAATCGGTTTCTGTTTTAAAATTTCACGAGTCTCTTTCTTTTTCTTTTTCTTTTTTTTGTTTTTGCTTCTCTTTTTTGGGCGTCATTACGAAGAAACTTTATGCTTTAAAAAAAAAAAAAAAATATTGCATATTGCCCTTTTTCATGATTTAGCTGTCTGTAATGACATTAGTGCCCAGAGCATTTAAAGGCCATCGTCATTTTTCAAAAAAATTACATCTTTGGAGGCCGAAATCAATGCAGTTCTCATTTACCTTTTTAACAGACTCCACAGTACTTGGGCTCGAATACAGCAACCTTGCTAAGCTTTTTTCAAACTATTCAGCTGACACTGAGGGAGATAACAAAACAAAGTATGTATAATTTATTTGACAACTGAAGAACAAATAGAAAAAAAATTAATTTACTGTTTTGTGATCATTCAATTTGCTTTATTTCAGGATACTAGACAGTGTAGTTATGTCCGCTGTAATAGACTCTCCGCTCAATGTTCTAGCAGAAAACATCACATTGGTTTTTAAGAACGCGCAGGTATATACGCTACTCTTTCGTTATCTGTTATTATTTTTTTAAATTTAATTTAATTGGCGTTGCTTGTTGGGGAATACCAACAGTTCATGCATCCCACATATAGGTGATAATGTTGTCATTTTTTGCCTCAATTCAAACTGGGATTTAATGACTGGCTAACGATTTGAAGACTGCCCGATACTTGATTAGTAAATTAGCATTACACCCCATTAGGCTTCCCACCAATTTTCAAATTTCGTCACCTTGAAGTCACCACAAAATGGATGTTAGATTTCATTAATGGGTGGTCCCAGGGACCATCATATTAAGAATTACTATTTTACTTGAGTGTTACGTTAATATTCTATAGCTATGACGCCTTACGAGTCAGTTACTAGTAATGCATCACCGAGCCTCGCTATATTACTCCTTGAATTACATCACTCGATTTTTTTTCCTTTAGGTGAATCGTAAAAAAAGAACATGTGTATTCTGGAGCTTCTCTGAAGAAAAGTAAGCACCACTGTGACATAAATTTTATCAATGGCGTGAATTCTTCCAGTTTTTCATCGGGGCTAAAACTATCTGAGCGGAATATAAAAGTAACTGAAATATTTCTTAACATTTAGTGGAGTGAATTGAAGTCTACTCAGGTGGAGGGAGGAAGGGGTTTCCAATCGAATTAGCTACTTTGACTCCTTTCTCCTTATTACACTCTTTTTTAAAGCTTTGGGAGTTGGTCAAGTAAAGGATGTCAAACAAAGATGATATCCGATCACCATACGGAATGCGTTTGCAATCATCTCACTCACTTCGCTGTACTCATGGATTTCATCGACGATGCTGATGACAGGAAGGTGGATATTATTTTTTACTACAAAATAATGTCATATAGATCTGAAAAGGTACAGAGAGGCATGAAAAGTATCGCATTCATTTATGTTCATTAAAATGTACATTTCCTTTAATACAAATAAAATAATTATGACGTTTACAGTTTTTCAATCAGGATAAAACTCGTTCGTCAGATGAGCATGACAAAATTCTGACACTCCTCACTCGAGTAGGGATGGCTTTATCTCTCACTGGAGTTATACTCACGGTTATCAGCTATCTTCAGCTTACGTAAGTACATTTGACTAACACTGCTATATTACTGAATTGTAGGATATTAACTATATTTAGAAGAATGGAATTAGATCAGTTCTACATCGATGTCAAAACGGACTGCTCATACCTGGAAAAGAAATCAAACGTTCTGAGATGATCTTTCTTTAAAAATGATATTTCGCCAAGGAGTGGAAATTGCTTCAAATGAACGTGACCGTAAAATGGAAACTTTTAAGTCACTATTCTTTTATCCATTCGTTATTCACTAATCAATTAATGTAAACATGTATTATGTCAGCGTATTTATTCCTCCATTTGGTGGATGATTTACAATTATCTTTTAGATGGTTTCCTTTGCCATTCATTGACCTTAGCTTTTTTTTTTTTTTTTTTTTTCTGACTGCTAAATGAATTTCATTTCGTTACTATTTATTGGCTTGTTTGCAGAGACAGAAATTCAGCTTTGTGTCACATACGGGTTAGTCTGACTTCCTGCATTGGAGCAGGACATATCATCTTTTTCGCTGGAATTGACTCCACGGGAAACCAGGTGACTCTTTGAACTCCTATTTTCGTGTTGCTTAGTTGATGCTGCTGTTCTTCTGATTTGTTAGTTTATTTGTTTGTTTGCTTGTTTTTTAATAGATCTAGCTTCTTATTGATTTAAATACTGACTGATCCATAGAGTGATTCTTTTTGCTTGGATATTTTTGCTCTTTTTTTGTTGGCATATTCTCTATATATGTTGCAATTTTTGTCTGTTTTCTTACAATTTTCGTTCTGTTTTGTTTGGTTTTGTTTCTTTCTGTTTTTTGGATTACTGTTTTGACAAATACCATTTGACGGGCGAATTATTACATTTTTACGGATTACCTTTTCCTTGCAGGCTGCCTGTGTAGCTGTGGCAGCTCTTATGCAGTATTTCCTGATGGCCAGTTTTTGCTGGATGCTTGTCGAGGGGATTTATATCTATTTATTTGTTGTAAAGGTTTACAACATTACCGACAAAATGTATCGCTATCATGGCTTTTGCTGGGGTGAGGAATATGTTAAAAAACGGGATAGGTCTTAAAGAATGTACTCGACAAAATATCTTGATTGTGATTGGCTTAAACCGATACGAATAAACTTTCTTAAAATGGCTTCATTTTTTAATTCGTCAAATGAACATGCGCAGTTTTTGAAAACCGTTGGATCGTCTTGAGGTGTACCTTAGTCAATCTTAAAATATTTCCGGTGCTCACTAGACCTAAACATGCTTGCAGATGTAGTTGACTGAAATCACTCAGCTTTTCTAATTCACGGTGTATTAGTAATTTCATATTCACAATCAAAAGGTTTCATGACTAACAACATAAAATACAGATTGGAAATTTACATAATCGCGTAATAACCTATTTTCGTTATTACTTTCTTCAGGACTGCCTGCAATCATAGTTGTTGTATGTCTGGGTATCGCTACAGGAAATGATGGAATCGAAACTTTTGTTAATGATGAAAGGTAAGTTTGAAAGTTTGTTTATTTTATAGACTGTATACAAAATGGTGGAAGCCTGAAAGCATGAACCTGGACAGAAAAAAGAAAAAAAAAAAAAAAAAAACGGCGGACGGGGGAAGGACTTTGGTGCCCTCGTGTCACCTTCCCCTTTCCCTGCCTCCTAAATTTTTTAAACCAGGACTCCAGGGAGTGCAAGGACTTATTAACATAAATATTCAGCCTTCCAAAGTGGTCTCCCCCCCCCATTCCCACTTCCCCCTTCTTACCCACAAGGCACCCCCTTCTTTCAGGCTGCGGATTTCTCTATGTATTATTATAGGAGAGTAAGAATTTGTAAATTACTATACAACATGACGTCTCTTCGTAATTTTGAAAAGTAATAAAAAGGCAACATGCTGCATTAAAGTGGAAAAATTAAAAGTTTGTTCCCCTTTGCCTTTTATTTTTCCAAGCTGCTGGATGTCTTCCTCTAACAATATCATTTGGATATTTGTTTCCTTTGTTGGATTGATCGCAATTGTAAGTGGCAACATATTGAAGTTTTACAGATAGGAGTTTAGTCATCTAAACATATTTATTTCAACGTTGATTAGAAAACGTTTTTTCAATCGTTTCTATTCTCGTGATGAGCCTTTGAAAGTCCTCTAGAAAAACTTACAACAGAAGCTTGTGTGATATTTCATTTTTGTCTTTTCATGTTCTCTCTCTTCTTTTGTTTTCCTTTTTAATACCTGAAGATTAACGTGATGATCCTCGTGCGAGTTATCAAGGAAGTGACAACAATCCAACAGGTGAAAGATAGCCAGACTGAGCAGATCAGGTGGGATGATAAGAATTGCTTCTCCCCTAAATGGGGTCCATAATGTCAATATTTTTGTTTGTTTGTTTGTTTTTGGTGGAAAGCTTAGACTTCAAAAGGACGTGCTTTAAAAGACGCCCTAGCACATAAAGGATAGTTTGTTTTCGATGAAGGACCTTCAAACTGGTTGGTGTGTCACTCCTAACGTTATATCTTGGCTATTCATTGCGTTTAATTTAAGCCAAGAGTTTTCAATCTTTCTTTACTTCTACTAGAGGGGAAAAAGATCCAGAATTCAGATAAAAAGCTCGTGTTTTCAGAGCGAATATTCATCTTCCAGGCTTGGTGTCCGTGCATGCGTGGTGTTAGCTCCATTGTTGGGTGTTACGTGGCTGATTGGCTTCCTTGCGCCGTTACACATCGCCTTCTCCTACATTTTTGTAATCCTTAATTCCACTCAGGTAAAGTCATCTACAACCTTTTGCTCATGGGTAGAAATAAGGGCGTACTTACGGCGTGATGTGTGTCAGAAATACTGAAAAGCGTCTCCATATCGAAAGATAATTCAGATTTTCTTTTAGACGCCAGACCCGTGACTCTCCGAAAAAAAGCCGACTCAAGACCATTTAAACCTTCCTTTTGAAATTGCATTTTTATCTCCAAAGCTCTGCTTAAGTCACCATGAATCGATTACTTCTGACGGATAGAGTTGTATTCGGAAAAATAAGCCTCAAATAAGTAATCGATCATAGATGATAAGGAAAGGAGATCTCCAGCGGAGTTGTTCTAGAAAACACAACCCTACATTCACGACAGAAAAAAACAAAACAAAACAGACAAAAAGGGTAAAGCTACTTTTTTTCTGCATATATTTGCCTATTTGTTTATTTATCAACCAATAAAGTCATATTTTATTTCTTTAAAGGGATTATTCATTTTCTTCTTTCACTGCTTGGGAAATAGTGAGGTAAATATAAATTTTGATTCTCTGTAATTCATATCAAGAAAACTGGTTACAAATAATAAGTGCCCCTAATTTGACCTTATTCGTATCTAGATAAGGGGGCGTTTCAAAAGAAGAGTCCAAAAACTCCTTCCAGATGCATTTAATCAAAGGCCAGGTGACAGTAGAGGAAACTGTCAAGCCCGTCAAAGTCACAATGATACTGGGATTCCTGCGCAGAATCGAGAGTAATCAGTGGAACTTGAACTTTTCTCTTGCCTATAAAATGGGAAAATACTATATGAATTTGTAAACAGCTTCACTTATGTTGCTTAGGCTGTAGCTGATTCAAATTAATTCAATTTGTATTTATGCTTTTTTCTTCGTCCAGCTGTTAAGTAATTTTCTAAATCACAGACTTAGCTTGATTAATGATATTTAACGAGACATTTCTGGCATCATTGTTATTCTATGGAAAAATTATTTGTCTTAGAATCAAGTTGCCAGAGAACACGAGTATATGATATATATATCAATTTTGGTGCAACTAATATTTATTAAGTACACAAATAAATTTGGCCGTATATAACGATTAACTATTTAGTGAAAACTTTACTAATGAAAGGAACATAAATACAAACATACAAGAACCAGGAACCGATCATCGTTTCTCGTCAGGGTAAGGAGGTGATGGATGGGTGTGTAGGATGTTGGTTTCTTTGTGCCACTATAAGATTTGGGTGAGCCTACAATATTCAATCACCCCTCCCTCCCTCCCCCCACGAATTTTCAGAGTTCCTTTTATAATCTTAGAATATTAAGCTTTGTTTTTACTCATCATGAGTTTGTCTCGGCCATGAGGCAGCTTCAGTGTTTATGGTAAGAGTAAAATGAGCAGTGCATTTGCCTGCTGCAAATTAAAACCTCCCAGGAGGATCAATTTCAAACATCTTCACCCGCAGAGATCTGTACATCACGTGAGGGCAAGTCGAGTTACGAAATACTTAAAAAAAAAAGTGATAACCAGCACGTTTTTAGCAACTAGGGAGAGGGGGGAGGGGGGGGAGCAATAAAGACTTAAAAGCCTTACCCATTTAATTTTGATCAATTGGCGGGATTCATGGTACTTTAACTTATATTTGTCAGTCCTTTCTCTTAACCTAATATTGATAAAGTTTGCGTGACATATGGACATAAACAGATCACCCCCCTCCTCCTGCTTCACTGCCCCACCTGTGAAGAGTAAGGGGCACCCTTGATATTCTTTACCTAAAGATTTACGGTAACTGATCACTCTTTAGAAATGGGACGAAATGATTCGCAATGTTTTCATAAAGGTAGATTCTCTTAAAGAGCAAGGGACAAGCTCGTGCGAATTGGAAGTGTTCTTATACAGATCTTTCGGGATTTGAATATGTCTAAAATAGAAAAAAAGAAATTTAGGATTAATATTGTTCGTGGTATAGCTTGTATTTTTGGTCTTCACGGCTGATTAGACCTTAAGACTATTAAATCCTTTACAATTTTCGATTCATTGCAATCACGATGTGCTAACTTCCGTTCCTTTCTTATTTCAGTACATGGAATAGTTCCCACAAATTTTTTGGCCAGTTTTGAAAGATTCCATTTCTCGCTATTTTTTTAGGGGCCTCGGTTATTTTCTGTAGTGTATGGTGAATGTAAAGGATTGTTTGTGTGTTGCGTGTTTCTAAATCCGTCTTGATCCAGAATTCATTCGCCTTTCAGTATTTTAAGCTTTGCCCAAAGGAAAAGTGAGGTCATGGTATTATTGCGTACTAGACATTTAAATTTTTTTTTCTAAATTGTTTAATTACGTAATAGTGAAGTAGTATTCGCCTATCAATTTTAATAGATTCAATTTCTCCGCAAATTTGCCTTTGATTGTAATTCTAATGTGAAAGCTTATTAACAAAGTGCTTTAAGTAGTGTTTGTGAGTTTCGTGCAATAAAGTTGTGTTTGTTATTAAGGCCTGTTTGCTTCCGTAAAATCATCTTAGCTGTTAAGCATATTTTCGCACAGTGTAAGTCCAAATTTTTGCTATGGCAAAAGAAAGTAGAGAAAAGAAATAAAAACAAATAATAATTACACAGAGGGAGACCAAAAACTGTTGCAACGATTTTAGCCTCCTTTTAAATCTTGTCTTCTTTTGCAGGAACATTAACATCGGTAAAATAACAGCAGAAAAAAACATAAATGGTTTGTAGATGATGAGACAGGTGGGCTGAAGGAGACTTTAAAGTTCATAGGGTTTATTTTATTACCGAGAGAAAATCCTCTGTCGTTTGGGTAGTGAAATGGAAACGAGGGAAAAATCTCTGAATTTGACCTTTAAGGTGTAGTGAAGTATTTTATCGAATACGAGTAATAACTAAAGAACTTAAGCAGAACTACATGGTGCCAACGAAGCATGAGTGGCTCCGCATATCAACATGAATGTATTTTAGGTTTTGACAATAGACAAGATTTTCAGTCTTAGAGTGTTATATTGACATAACTGAATAAAGGGAGTAAGAGCAGCTTTTCGGGAGAAGTGCCAAACAACACATTGAAATCAAAGGGTTAGTAAAGAAGCAAGCGAAAATAAATAACTCTTCATTTTCCAACGGACACGCTGTTCACGGTAAAAAATGACATGTAAATTCACGTGGCCGCTCGTCTGACGAGATAACTCAAAACGTCTTCGTCAGGTGAGCAACTAATGCTCGTTAGGTGAACCTTTCAAGACTCGAAGTAATAGGTTATCAGTCCTTTCCAACTCATGGTTGATATCTCTATTTGGTGAGAAACTGAATAGTCATAAGAAGTGGCTCAACACTGATTGCTAAGAAACCATTGAGAGAGAGACTGATTGTTGTGTAAACTGAAAGTTATAACAATATCGGTAAGCTTCTTTTAAAAAGAGCAAAATTATTTTTCTTACTCCATTGTTTGCTACAAGCTTTAAAAAGTGGTAATTATTCATTTCTTTTTTTCCTTTTTTTATTACTTTGATAAGTTATATTTGTTAATATATACTATTAGATATGGGGCCCCGTTCGCATGACTTGTGCACTAGAGTCTTGCTTGATCGATAAATTATCCATCTTACGCTTCAGTTCCATTGGCTGGTCAGGAGAAGGGTGCTACGTCAAGTCTAGTGATGCACACCAAACAGAGATAACTGTATGACGTCAAATTTCGTTATGGCTTGTGAAAATTGGCCGCTATTGAATTTCCTTCCATACCATAGAACAATACAAAGTCAAAAACAAAAAGACTACGAATTTCAAATTCTTTGAATGTAATAGAGTGGCTAATTAAACTTGCGATTTATAGATAAGAGCTCGTTTGAGGAGAAGGTTTCAGGCAATCTTCCCAGCAATGGATGATGGGACTAGCACAAAGCGAACATCTGTAATGCCCTCGGAAATAAATGAGGATTCCACAGCCATTGCTGCGCCGAGAAAAATAAAGGTTCAGCCACTGAGTGACGCCGAAAAAACTAAAATAGTATCGAACAACTTAAACCTCCATGTAGTTTGCAACATGCTACATTGTACATAACAGCAATAAATGAAATTGAAATTTCGTAGTAAGGCATACCTAAACAAAATATTGCAAGTTAGAAATCCGGCAGCTATTATATAATATCAAAAAAGAACATTCACTGGAAAGCCGCGAAAAAACGGCGAAGCTAAACAAAACAAGAATAAGGAAAAAAGGACAAGTCATTATCTCTACAGAAGAAAGTCCTGATTTGTTTTGGTTTGTTTTTCGGCAGCTAATGCCAACCTTAAGTTGGCTTTTCAGTGCCTTGTCTGTGATTTGCGATATTTCATTTCCTTAGAATGTTTATTCAGTGGATAAAATAATCGACCGAGAAACACCGTGTGTTAGCGTGACATGCGTTTGGCATCTTAATTGCAAAAATCAGTCATGTTGCCTCAGTGATTGTCAAGATAGGACATTGATATAAATACCCTGACAGTTTTCAGCTGAAAACAAAACAAAGAATGGTAGAATTAGAATATTAGGTTTTTTTCTGTACTGCGTCTGTATTGCTTTCTGTTTGATTAATAGCCGGATACCCAATAGTCACAAGCACAAATTTCAGTTTGATTTGCATGAGAAAACTGAAAATAACATTCAAACTAAACGAAATTCTGTGAAAAAACTTTTTTTTTTTTTTCTTATGAAAAACCTTATCCTCTTATAATCCTTCGCCACCTGTGTACGGATGATGTTCATCTACCCATCATCCACCTGTTTATGTGCGTAGCTACAATAATTTGATATTGGAGATGTTTTAATGAATCTACAAGCTAAAATGTTCCTTTTAGGTCATAAGAGGTCATAAGGGGAAAAGATTTGGACCCAAACCGTTTATAGTCTCACTCCGCAATAAGCGGGCCTTACATCAAATCATTTTACATCGCTATGTAGGGCATAAATGAAGCAGTCTGAATAAGCAATATTTCAAGAAAAAACCAAATCTGAACATCATGTTGCGACCAAAAGTAGAAACGGCAGTTTAGAGAAAACCTCGAAATAAATTTAGAGAAAACCTCGAAATAAATTTGAATACGAACACTGACAGAGGATACTGGTTAGTTTGCAAAGGTTAGGGATCGAGAGGATGTTTTCCAAGACACTCTCATTAAATCATGATTAACAGCAGCCACCTAGGTCATGTAACAGCCGATGAAAATAATGCTGAAAAGCCGCATCTCAGGAAAGGAATTACGATTAACTATTTTACCGAAAGGGTAACGTTGAAAGCTTTAGATCAATCCACTTTACCTCTTCTCAACCAAGATCAGTTTGGGTGTTATTATTAGCCAAGTGCAGAGTGTAAACAAACTGCCGCAAAGCTTTTCAAAATCAAACAGCAACTTATCCCTTTCTTAAATATTTACTCTGAACGAAACCCAGTGTGTGATCCTTAGGAACTCTGAGGAGAGTAAATGCTATATATACATATATATATATACAGCTATTTCAATTTACGTTGTCGGATCAAAGCTTCAAGGGTACGGGACAAGACCGATTACCGACAACCTCATCCACTTGAAACCCCAACATTTCTTTCATCCAAATGGCTCGCCATCGGAGATCTTCACTCTATGGACGAGGCACTATTAATTTTGCTTATAATTATTCATTAAGATCCCATATTCCCCTTCGGTCTTGTCTTGTAGGCTTGAGGCTTTGATCCGACAACGTAAATGACTTACGTAAGACAATGCTCAAT